AACCTACCCATCACCAAATGTTCCCACTGGTGAGCCCATGACCTCGCTGCACAGTGTGTCGACGATAGGTGGTACATTTTGACCAAGAAACTTGCAGACCTTGACGAAGCATGGCCAGTGGTTTTCCATGCCCAGAACATGTATCAATCCAGAGCACGCAAGTTCACTGAAGTTCTACAAGAAAGAAAGGATATGGAATACCACAGCAAACCTGAATAACATTTACAGAAATTGCCATCATTCACTGAACAAAAATACGAAATAGTCAAAATTTAAGAAATAACATTTTTCAGGGTTGAGTTACATTTGAAGAGATTATGCTAAAACACAAAACTGCAAAAAACGCAGATCCTGTGATTTCAAAACACCAATTATTATATCATAAATAATATACAGTCAAACTCGCACAAAACAACAGGGAACATTTATAGTTAGAGTTATGTGAAGTACACGAGTTATCGGCTAAATAACGTACAACTAAAACAAGTCGTACATTAATTGAAAAATTTTACGAGTTGTACAAATTAAAATTAACATATTATTCTGTGAATATATTGGATGAATGGCTATTTTTAGAACATCGTTACACAATTGACCGTCGGATTTAGTACTGTTTATCGGGGACATTCCATGGAAGTGTGGGGTATATTGGTAGCATAATTAACATATAACGTATGGACAGTGAAATTTACTTGAAAATACGTTAGTTGCACCGGGAGAGAATAACTATGACTTACGTATTTATACGACTTGCAAATATACTTGTAGATTTTTTTAAAGCTATTATTTAATCAAAATTGTTTGGGACTTTCAAACTACAACACATTCGCAGAAAAAGAAATGTCTCTACAAAATAAACGAGAAATTTATACTACTAATGTAAAAACAAACAAAGATGTTCTACCGTTTCCAAAACCGACTGCACGAACGGTCTCAGAGCCAATGAAATGTTGCCAGCAGTCACCGGTGCATCTGGTGCTGTTATTAACCTTTTAAAATAAAGAATGCCATGGTGATTTGTTTGAAAATATATTAGAAATAAGTAACGTAAACTCAAGTTCTTAGTATACATAAAACAATAGTTTCAGCAACTCTATGTAATGAATTTATAACTTATAACTCATAATGACTAATTTTGCCACAGTCCATAACATTGTATTTGACAAATATTGCGGTGATACAGTGTATAATCTTAACTGATAAATACATACACAGTGCCTTCAGTCCTTTGCTTGGCAAACTTGCGGGCAGCAGATCTTAGAGAAATGGTTTTCTCATGTTGAAAACCTTGTACTTGTATCGGCAGTATGCCACGAAATTTCTGTATTCTTTCTCCAGAATACGTGCCAGCGAGGACACCGTACTCGGACCTTTAAAATAAAAAATTGTTCAATAATCATGTATTAAAGACACATTCCTATAGTAAAAATGAAAGCATATAGATAGAGGAGGGCTGTACACAAACCTGACAGCATGCTAGTAAATTTTGCACTGAACTTTCATGTTTGTTCTCAAGAAGTGGAATATGGTCTCTTTGGTGTTTTACATACCAATGCATAAACGTCTACTATTCATTACTAAATTGCATAACTGAAAGATAATTCGGATTCCTTGAACTTATTCATCAAAGCTGACTTAATTTAATGCTCTGCACACCTGAACATGCTCAAGTTAAAATATTTTTTTATTCATGCTGTAGCATTTACAGTGGTTTCTTATTGTAATTGTTAGGTTAATGGACAAAAGTGAAACCTAATCAACTTGCAGCATTTGATAGCACTATAACTAATAGCACTGCCAGTTTTAGTTACCTAGCATGACACGACTCTCCGAAATCACCCGACCTCTTGCGGCACAACAGGCATTGGCGGCTTTCTGCCAAACACACATTCATACGGCGTCATCTTAATCACCCTCGAATATGCTGTATTCATCTGATCTGTAATACACAATATATAATATAATGTAATAATGGTAATCGATCGAAAGCTTTTAAACGTTAAAAAAAATCCTACCTTTGTGTTTTAACAAATATCAGTGTCATGTACTGGGGGGAAGTGTGTACGTCATCATAAATATTATCAGAAAACAATACATTTATGTAATTGTAGGAGTGTAACTGGAGTGCACTCACTGTTGCTGTGAAGCTAGGAAAAGAGCCCTCTCGCGATCTGTGTACTTCTGTAGGATTAGGGTTAGGGTTTCAGTAAACGGTTAACAATAGGAACAGGAACAGTTATGAATAATTGTAGTGCGTAACATGCAGAAATCGATTTTTAGCAATTATCTTAAAAACCATTGACTTTTGGATATGAAAATGTATTACTGACCCCCATAATGTGGCCATTGCGCACATTTTGAGTGGTCGGGCAACCTCCTAGGTCAACGGTTCTGTAAGATACAGTCACGATGGATGGTAGTACTTCGCCTCGAAAAGGGCGTGGCCCAAAAAGGTATTTCGCCGTCAGTAGGAAATTGTTGTACCAACCAAATATTGTTCCTGGACCTTCAATTAGTGGATTCTTGAAGAGTTTAGGTCTGGACATAAATTTGCATACTAAACCACCATGAGCTACTAGAGTAATAGCCATGCAGGGAATAAAATTGAACGTTTGCCTACGCAATATTTAGAAAATAAAGTGATAATTTGAATACCTTCATGTCTGTGTTTTTTTCACCCATGTGCCCAGTAGCTTCGTGCACTGCTGATATAGTTTCATAGAAATCCTCTATACAGATTACTGTACGGTGACCACCCGTCAGCTAGAAATATAAAAATTTATTATTGGGCATAGAAGATGTATGCTTTTGTTTCAATACCATTAAACTTGTATAAATTTATAAACAAAGGCGCAAATGAATGTCATTATTTTCTAACTGCAAGGCAAGTAGAAAATTTACCAAGGTGATACCGAAACATGTTTCCAACAGCGAAAACCTCAAGAAGACCATTATTTTTAATTGACAAGAATGACCTAATAATCTTTAATAGTATTTTTGTTGAAAATGGCTAGAAAACTTGGTCTACCAAGCACTGACGAATCCTGTGAGCTGTACTGGACATCGATTCTATATAAGTAGAGAAGTCTACAAGTAGAAAGCTTTAAATGAGAAAGATTTGCTTTGAATGTGGGTAGAATATGGAGTTTTACCCATCAGTTATTAAGGAGTTTATAGAACGCCCGTTTTACGATGGCACTCGGTCAGGTATGTATATTGGTACCAGTGTCTCTAATCTAATCCAGACTCTGAATCCGGACTGAGATTCCTTGTGTAGAGGCAGCTATGGTTACCTAATCCAAGTCTAGAAACCATATTTTTTGTGTTAGTTCTAAAACCTAGCACCTACACTATAGTTGTTAATAACGTGTTGCCGAGGAATATTTTTCACTTACCGGTACTGGACCAACATTAGTGTCCTTCTCTTGCTGATGTTTTTTGGACGGCTTGACTGGCACCATTGTCGTATAGTGTTTTGGCCGTGGGTGAAACTGTTAGGTTCTACTGCCTACGAACCGATCTTCCACGCTACACCATCAAGACCTCTGTTGGGTGATTCTGGTTCGATTGAGACAGAGGAACTGTCACCAGCTGGTACTGGCGTTGCTTAATCTGGAAAAGTAATAGAAACCAGTTCTTATCTTCAAAACTAAAAACGTTTCACATAAATATATGCCAGTTTTGGTTTTGCATTTTGTCAACAGTTGTTTATAAGATGATTTTTTTATAACATTTCTATACCGAGTTTCTCACTAAATCACCACCTGCTACATGACATGTTAGTACTTTTTATAACATGTCATTTGACGTCATAGACAATGGGCATACCCAAGACGGAGTTTACCAAATTAAAAATCATACTAGGCCATGCGTGGAACATGTTGTGTAGTGTGCATGGGTTGCAACCAGGCACCTACCTATAGGTCACGTACTTGTTAAATATCCTCCCTAATATCCTGCGCACATGGGAGAATTTCTGAGCAACTTTTGTTGCAGCAAATAAATTATATAATAATCATAATTCCTAAGTTTATAAGTTGATAATAGGTTGCTGGTTTGGGCAATAATAATTACCCAAACAAGTGCCGCAGTGCGACAGGGCTCATCTGGTATCTGGTGTTCTGCTGATAAATTCATTTGTGCATAGCAAGACGTCTTATACATTCATTACTGTATGATACAGTATGTATCCAAGGAAACAAAACACGCAGTGGCTGGAGGTACGGTAGCCGTCGGTCGTTGAAGCCCCTTTTTGGCGTTAGGGTTAGGATTAGGGTTAGGTTTAGGGTTAGGGTTAGGGTTTCTAGCTCATCTAAACTCTCAAGTCGTGAATTATTTTCCCACGGTTATTTCGAAATCTGGCGCCACCGCCGCCATCTTTGTCTCGTTAAGTATGAAAGCGAATGGACTCCCGTACCCTAGCCTCGAGACATTAAGATACGGCTACCGTACCCGTAGCCACTGCCCACAAAACAACATGCAAAAAGATGCGTGTTTCTTTTTAAGTCTTCATCTGCATGAAAAATTAAGAACCTACTTTAAAATCTTAGCCTAAAACAGGTTCTTATGTAAAGGGGTCTAAATGGGAAATTTTAGCCTAAATGTTCTTAAAATCTATGTATTACTGTACTCTGATTATACTTATAGATACTAACTGATTATACTTATAGACTGAGTCAATGATATAAGAGCTGTCCCCAATTCATTTTCGCAATGTGCCCCTCCGCTCCCCAACCCGTCGCAACACCCTCACTCCCCCACCCCTCGCAACACCCTCACTCCCCCCACCCTCGCAACACACTCACCAACACTCCTCTCGATTTTAAAGGGCCTACCTCCATATTGACGAAAATGACAGCTAGGTCTCAATTCTGGACATGCTGTCTGACTCTATCCTTGAAGTTGAACCGTGCGCGTGTGCAAATGTGCAAATGTGGACAGTTCCTGTCTGAGTCAGAGTCTTATAATATATATATCTAAATTATATATCCTTGGCTAGACAATATACTATCAGTATCAGTAATAATAGCTATTATCCATCAAAGTTGTACTATTTCGCTACTCTCGCTATTATTACTAATAATATTTTCCTGTAAATGCCTTGTCCGCACGCAGACGTTTATAACTCGGCTTTGCTAATCTGAGGGTGTGGGTTTAACCCATTACTGGGGTCTGCGTCTGCTCGGACTAGTAAATGCCGTTCAATTGCTCCTCTGCAACACACAAGTACACCGCACGCACGCCGCTGTGCACAAACAACCACTATATAGATGTTTGACTATCTCAGGGTGCGAAATTAACGGGAGTTTCGGAGTCAAATACGCCCTGATTTACTGCCGGACTCCCTGATTTGACATATGCAGGAGTCCGTGTGACTCCCTGAAAATTCTGCGATACTAACTAGTTCGTTCCGGAGCACGGCCTCGCAGAATTACTGTATTTTTTTCAGCTAATGTCCAAGAAAATTTGCAGACGTGCAACTGCATGAATCTTAAAAATAAGCACATGCGTTATTGTTAATCTTTAATTTTGAACCTCAGACTGCGGACTCCCTCATTTTGCTGCGGACTCTCTCTTTTTGTGAGTAGGGAGTTTAGTCCGTTGGACTCCCTTGTTCAAAAGTCAATTTCTACCCCTGCTATCTACTCTGATTATAGATACTTGCTGATTATCGGTATAGTTATATAGACTCTTATCTATATTTTTTATTGTTTGTGTATAGCTGCGTGCATGCTGTGTACTTGTGTGTGTACAACTGCATTTTGTGTTTATTTACCATCATTTTATTAGCGAAATGTTTCAAGTGCCTGTGCTCACAACTAGGCTTGTAGAAAGTGATAAACTCGAGCAATAGGAAAAGCAAATAAAGTGTTATTTTTAGCTCATCTGCCGTGCTTGTAGAATCGCATGATTGTCCATCCGTGCGTCCGTCCGTCCGTCAACAGTTGGGCACAAATCTTAACCGCTCGACGTACGGTCACGATATGCAGGACGTGGGGGGGTAATCCGAAAACGAGTTGGGATGTCGAAGCTGGGGGTCAAAGTTCACAGGTCAAAGGTCAATGGGGTAGAGAGCAGATTTAGACATTTTCTGAGGACAATGGTCTGACTGAGGCGATTGAAAAACTTTTTTGCTTCAGCGGTGACCTAACCATTTTTATGGCTTTATTGAAAGGACCGTGAATGTACTTTCCGCTGACATGCGAAGAGTAAGTGTCGGATAACCTTTTGACCCTCAAGAGGAGGGTTAAACATTGATTTGTTGACTGTTAACAAAGGACTGAACTGCTTTTGCTATTATTAAGAGCCCATACCTGTGTGAATGTGGGCTACAGTTGCACAGTTTAATTGCAAAGGCAAATGTTTGTTGAACAAGGTTTACGCTCCTTAAATCATATCATTTTTCTAAAGCAGTCTGTCTATAGCACCCTGAAGGCTGAATCAGTGAATGCTCGTGTGGGTAGGCAAAAACACGGGGGCAGCCCATGGCTGGCACGCTTCTAATCATATTGTTGCCTGCCAACCTGCAATGCACATGTGTCTGCAATGCATAGAGATTAGGTGGGTGCGAAAGTGTAGGCTGATATATTTGTTCCAATTGGCTTCGAAAGTCAAACAGAATAAAGAAGACTTATGTAAT